TCCAGGATGGGGAAAAAAGAAAAAAAGCTTCTAAAGTTTTCCAACTTCTAATCGGGAAGAAAAAGAGATGACAAAGGCATAATTAAGAAAATATCTCTTCTAGAGGATGCGTGGGGTCAGAGGCACCGGAAAGATACCAAAGATGCCAAGCATCTAAATCTAACAGTAATAAGCAAGCCAGGGGGTGAGAAGTATTCAAAGGTCTCTAAGAAATGTTTTAAAAAAGAAAAAGGGTTAATGATACCAAAGCAGTATGTTTTTGTTATCACTTCCCCTAAACAGGTAAGAATGTTTCTTGGAACTGGGTTTAAACTTTTTGAGATGTAGGGGCAGGGAAATAACTCAGAAAAGCAACACCTGTTGTTATAGGAGAAAGGAACAATGTTTTTTGACAACTCCACAGTGAAAAGAGTGTAGCTTTTATCCTGGGATCCTCCCAGAAGCTGTTCTGGATGGAATAAGTCAAAGGCTCCCACATTCTTGTTTATTTAGCCTTTTTAGTCAGAGCAATATTGGTTAATGAAAATGACCAAGGATGAGAGGGAGTATGAATTACATATTCACTAACTGCATGTGAAACTGCATGTGAAATTTCAAATGAAAATAAATACAATATCTAACCAAGTGCTGTAAGTGGCTCACATTTGTAAAACTAGTGACTTGGGAGGCTGAGATCTAAAGCTAGCTCCAGCACACAAATCCTGAGATTCTTATCTCCAATTAAACACCCCTAGAAGTGGAAGTGTGGTACAAGAATGTAAAGCAGCAGCCATGCATGGAAAAAGGCAAGCAAGAAAACAAGCCAGTACCTTAGTACTGACATAATGAATGAATGAATGAATGAATTATGGGATACAATCTGGAACATATTGTTTTAGAAATTATTACATTTTCACCACAAAAGTTTGCTCTATTTGGAGTAGTATTTCATGTAGCCATTTCACTACACATAACTATATACATGCATAGCACACAGAAAGGGGAATGTACAATGAATTAATCTTTTGAATATTCTTTTGCTTAATTTTTCAAATATTTCAAATATATTTCAAATAAATGATATGCTGTTACAAGCTTATTCTGAAAGATCAACTGATAAAATGTTACCCTAAGGCTGGGAATGTGGTTTAGTAGTGGAGTGCTTGCCTAGTAAGGCCTGGGTTCTATTCTTTGGTACCATATAAACAAAAATATAAATAAAAAATTTTTAAATGTTACCATATTTTCAGTTATAAAACCTGCTGTTTAAGGATACAGGTGGACCTGTTGCAACAATGAGAAGTACAAGTTGTCATGTCCAAAACGAGCTTTACAAAGTCGGTGGGGGGGGGTAGGGGGGCAGGGGGGCAGGGGGGAAGGAGAAGGATTAGGATTGGGGGGGAGGGGGGAGGCTGGGAAGTGATGTGAAGGGTAAACAAAGGAGGAGGCTGCAATGCTTGGTAAGAAATGTACGCATTATCCTGCCCACGCAATTGTAACCCCTCTGTACAGTATGTTCACAAATAAAATAAAATTAAATTAAAAAAAAAAACCTGCCCATCTTTTCAATCTTCAGAAAAGAAACGAGAGAAAGCATACTTGCTTACTGGGATATTGTTATTCCTGTTGAGTCTATGTGAGCTCAGCTATACTGGGCAATTTCATGATACCAATTTTTATATGTAGTGGTTTTGTCTTTCTACATAAAATCATAGATGCAAACTGGTTCTAGTAAGTGAATGTTCTTAAGCAATGCATTTACATAATTAAATGGTTTCCCATCTTTCATACTGAATAAGGGAAATAAGTAGTTTAATATAATGTTAGCAATCAATTAAAATCCTTTTTTTCTGAGCAGAACAGTTCCATTCTGAGATAAGTGAATATAGAATGCTTGTGCTCTACTGTGCTGTGGTCCAGCGCCACAAATGAAAAGTATAGTCTTCACCCTAAACACAGAGACATCATCTCATCCCCTCTGAAGCTAAGAGATGCAGACAGGCCAGTGGCCCTTAAATTACAGACTCCAAGGCTTCTATGGGCTTCTGAATTTCTTTACACATGCTATAATATGCTTTTATTTAATGAGATGTGAAAAAGATAGGAGTCTTGCTTTTTCGAAGTTCTTTGGGATATTATTTGCAGCATTTCTTGGCTACCTTGTTCAGCTCTCTGAACATATGAACATTTTTCATATTTTGTGGACAGTACCTTTTTAAAAGCTGAATTTTATGTGTATGGATGCTAGTACAGGAGTTTAAACTCAGGGCATTGCACTGTCATTTGGCTTCTTTGCTCAAGGCTAAAGCTCTACCACTTGAGCCACACTTCCACTTCAAGCTTTTTGCTTGTTAAAGATAAGAGTCTCTATGATTTGTCTGCTTTAGCTGGTTTTGAATCACAATCCTAAGATCTCAGCCTCCAGAGTAGCTAGGATTACAGGTGTGAGCCACCAGCTCACATAACAAAAATGCCCAACACTGCAGAACTATAAATCAACTTATACACACACTCTAGACAATGAAATAGTTCATATTCCCTATGAGTATTCTCTGTAAAATTCACAAATGAGGAAATCACTGTGATGGGAGAAAAACACAGACACAGCACAATACTGAATACTGGCTGTTGCTGGGTATTGAAGTCATAGATAATTTTGTTTTATAAAACACAGGTAAGAATCTGGGTACAACCTGGATTCTGCTTATCCAGATTCAATAGCCAAAAAAAATTTTTTTGCAGTACTGGGATCTGACCTGAAAACTACACACCTGCTAGGCAGTTGTTGTATTCCTGAGCCATGCCCCAGCCCATTTTTTGGGTTTTAATTGTTTTATGGATATATCTCAAAGTTTTGCCCGAGGCCCATCTTAGACTATAGTCCTCCTCACTAGACAAGCACAGCTTATTTGTTGGGATGGGGACACTAGCTATTTGTCCTGACTGGCCTCAAACTGTGCTCCTACCTATCTTTGCCAGTATAGCTAGGATTATAGGCCTGAACCACCAGACCCAGCCTAAATAGCAAGAGACTTTAAAAGTGGTAATGAAAAGGGAGTTTCCTGGCCTGTTGTCACTGGCAGCATTTCTTGGTTCAGTGTCCAGCTTTCCAGCTGAATTGAGGCAAGTTGAGCACACCTAAAGACAGCATGCTGGAGGCCTAATGGGCAGTTTCTAGTGGACTGCAGCCTCATGTGTGCACAGAGGCATGTCAAATGTGTACAACTACAGTTTTCAAAGTGCATCTTCCCCACCTACAGCCATGCATGCTCTACAAGCCCTTCCAAAAAAGTAATAAACAGTTACTAAGTCCTTTCATGTCTGAAATACATTTTATTGTAAAAGCAGGCCTATATACTGCAAAGCAGTTGTTCATAAATCTACAATAAAAAATATTACAAGAGATTGAGGTTAACAGTTAAAACCCAAATTCAAAACATTCAGAAATTAGGTAGTTTTTTAATATCTATCTATCTACCATCTATCCATCTATCCACTCACCCACCTAATCTATTGCTTGCCTGCCTGCCTGCCTTCCTGCCTGCCTGCCTATTTGTCTGTCTGTCATGGGAATCATACAGTGAGTCTTTTGCAGACCAGGCAAGGTCTCTCCCATTGATCTATCTAGCTATCCCAATTCTTCAAAATGTATATAAACTGTGTAAATTTTTTGCTTGAACTAGCACTTGTTGAAATAAAAAAAAAGCTACAAGAAATAATACATAGGCTTTTTTGCATAGAGGCAACAGACATATCTAAACAATATAGAGCTATATCCATTCTAACACTTTTTCTCACTGCATACTGCGTTAAATTTCTGGCAACACTGAAAAATATTTGTTAATTCATAAAATAGATATTTACTGAGCAACTATTCTACAGATTCAGCAATGAAATGGCTAACATAGTTTAAAAGACTGAAGTATAATGTAGTAGGAGAATAAGGATTTCTATACCAAGAGATAATAAACAGCATTAGAAAGCCAATTCATAATGGAGATTACTTCAGCTAAAGCTTATTTATTTGGACTAAATAAATCAGGTCAAAACTCAAATAAGTTGGGTCAAAGAAGCAAACTGTATTAGGAATAAACAGCATGGTTCCATTCTGAAAGGAAATTTAGAAGGGATAAAACAATGAATTAATCAATCAGAATAAAGTACCATAAAGTCAGCTTTCATACTTAGGGGACACAGGTTGTAAGTTCTTTACTATGCCTCCTAAGCCAATATGAATCTTTGCCTATGATGAAAACACTGTTTACATACAGAAAGCAAATAGAAGACTTGCCTTTGAATGAGGTAACAAAACCACACATAGAAAAAGGACTCTGTGGGCGGGGAGGCTTGGGTGGGGGTGGGGGGGGAGGATAAGAAGGGATGGGAAGGGGAAATAAAGGAGGAGGCTACAATGCTTGATAAGAAATGTACTCATTATCTTGCCCATGTAATTATAACTCCTCTGTACAGTATTTTCACAATAAAAAAAATCTGAGAAAAAAAAGAAAATATTGGAGGCTATTACAGATGTTCTGTGATCAAACTACATTTTTTGTTAAAAAAATTTCTACTCAAGAAGCCAAGATGAAATGGTGTGTGTGTGTGTGTACTATTTAATCTTCTAATGAAAAACTGCATTACACAATCATCCATGAGATTGAAGTTTTAAATAAACAAACAAATTTTCTTCCTTTAAAAAAAAAAGAAAAGAAAAAGGACTCTGTGGAAGATGTATTCCATACTGAACATTTTCTTTTGAGAGGTCTAGAGTGTGGCTCAGTGGTAGAGTGCTTACAAATATGTTTGAGGCCTTGGGTTCTATCACCAGAGCCAGAGCGGGGAAATAGTTCCTTTTAAAGCATAGGACTATATTGTGAATTCACGGAATAAAAGAGGTTATCAGAACTCTGCTGGGAGAACTGGTACACAGTGCGGATGCGTGAGGAATGCGTAGCCACTCATCACCCACACCAAGACAACAGCAGATGTAAAGGGCAGAAGACACAAGCCGAAGTGGTTACCTTCCTGTCACAGGCTTTGGGACTACCAGCGATGTTCTGCTTGAGGAAGCCAGCTGTTGTTGACCAGCGGGTGGGGTTTTTTCTAGAGGGTTCTTCAGAGGAAAAATTATTATCACTGACAGAAGTTGAGAGGCCAAGTAAAGCTGGGTCACTGCTCCGACGAACATGAAGAGGCATATCTGCAAATATAAAGACAGTATCACATTTAAAATTAGACTCTGAAGTCTAAAAGCTAGGCTAGAATAGATATAATTAAATCCCAAGGATTACAGAACAGTTTTTTAAAAAAAAGAAAGAAAAGAAAAAAGTGGGCTAATATTGTAAATACAAGCCAGGTACCAATGACTCCTGCCTGTAATCCTAGCTTCTCAGAAGGCTGAGGTATGAGGATCACAGTTCAAAGCTATCCCAGGAAGACTCATCTCCCATTAGCCAGGAAAAAAGACAGAAGTGAAGGTGTGGCTCAAGCAATAAGAATAAGAGCCTTGAATTAAAAAGCTAAACAAGACCCTGTACCAACACACACACACACACACACACACACACACACACACACACACACACATACATATTGTAAGTACAAACCACAGAGGTTCCTTTAAAACATTCAATGGCAAATTGGGGTGCCTGTGCTTGTATTTGGACTTCTCTACTGACACTGTCTAGGATAAAGCAAGCATTTTAAGCTGTCCTCTGTCTTGAGTCTTTTCTCACTGGGACAACAATAAAATAATACTTCTTCTATAAGGTTGTTATAAGCCCTGAATGAGCTTACAGAACCTCTAATCAATATAGAATGCAGACAGGCATACTGATTGTATCATCCCAGTATTTCTTCTTTTCTTTTTTTTTTTTTTGCCAGTCCTGGCTCTTGAATTCAGGGCCTAGGAACTGTCCCTGAGCTTCTTCTGCTCAAGGCTAGCACTCTACCACCTGAGCCACAGTGCCACTTCTGGCTTTTTCTATGTATGTGATACTGAAGAATTGAACCCAGGGCTTCATGTATGCTAGGCAAGCACTTTACCACTGAGCCACTTTGCCAGCCCTCATCCCAGTATTTCTAACTAGCATCATGTATCTTATGGAAGATAAGAATCAAAACTAAGCAACAATCCAAATTTCCCCCTAACCTTAAGCTGTAATGAATGAATGAATAATAATGAATATATAAAATGTTGCTAGTTGACTAAAGCATTCTGTTCTTGAATAGAATGCTCCTTTTGCTCAATAAAGTATTATAAAAAGTATGGACTACAAACACAGTTATTATCCTTAAGATAATCTTGAAACTATTGTGTGACTGTGCAGGTACTTTTTCTCATATATTCACTGACACAGTACGAGAAGGTATTTTAGCAACTGTGATCACATAGAATCTGCCTGCACCTGCTGTAACAAAGTCAACACAGACATTTGTGTTAGACAGCATCATGGTATAGCCAAGGAGAAACACAACTCCAAATAACAGACAGAAGAATAAAGATGCACAAACATGCAACAACAGAACAGATCCTAAATCCCCACTCATGGTATGAGAAGTCAAAAACTGTATTGATGTAGAGAATGGTTTGTTTTCCAAAACTAGGTTAAGTTGAATACTTAATTTATTTATTTTTATTTTTGCCCATCCTGGGGCTTTGAACTTTGGGCCTGGGCACTGTTCCTGCACTTCTTTTGCTCAAAGCTAGCGCTCTACCACTTGAGCCACAACACTACTTTCAGGTTTTTCTGTGTAGTCTATTGGAGAGAAGAGTCTAAAGGATTTTCCTGCCCAGTTAGCCTCAAACTGTGATTCTCAGATCTCAGCAGGAGCTAGGATTACAGACATGAGCCAACAGTGCCCAGCTAAACATGTATTTTGAAAGAACAGCTCTGACAGTTTTTAACCATGAAACAATAAACTTATCCTATGAGAAACATTTTGGAAAGACTGATACCTCAGTCAGCAGTGTGTGGATACAAGACTCTTTTTGGTGGGGAGGGGGGGGGCACCAGTTGTGGATCTTGAGCCCTGGGCCTGGGTACTATCCCTGAGCTCTTCATCTCAAGGCTAGCACTCTACCACTTGAGTCACAGCGCCACTTCCAACTGTGCTTATGTGGTGCTGAGGAGTCAAACCCAGGGCCTCATGCATCCAAGGCATGCACTCTACCACTGTGCCACCTTCCCAGCCCTGATACATAGACTCTTAAGGATGGAAAAGATGGTTTGTTTATAGACTATCAATCCAGCATCCCCCAATGAGGAAATGATCAGAAAAGACAAAAGGAAATAAATCACAGTAATACTACTTTTATAGCATTTGCTTCTACATCATGAGACTTTATAATAATAGCCTGAGCAGCACTACTAGAGGGAAAAATGCTCAGCATTTAATATCATTACTGGTTATCTTCATTTGCTAAGAGAAACACATACATGAAAATTATATAAGATAATTTCTAGTTTTTAAGTGCATGCAAATACCTGTGACAACCATCACTGCTTATAATTTACACAGGAAAAAATAAAACATCAGTAAGACTAGTTGCAGAGAATAAGCTCAAAATAGCATATATCTATTTGTGTTAACAGTATAATATTCTCATTCAGGAGTAAAAAAAAGATTTGAGAATAACCAATTAAAAAGCAAGTAGAAATATAACCCAAATATTGTCAACAATTACAATAATGTTACTCAGATATGAACACTTGTATATTCTGTTGCTTTGTGTTAGCTGTTCAGTCCTGAACACCATTCTTCTTCCACTGTTTCCTCCCTTGTTCCATATGTGTATGTTTAAATGACAATTAAAATGCACAGGCCTTTAAAAATGGCAGAGATCACAAATGTATTAATTGAAATATAGTACATTCAGGGGAGAATTCAAATGGTATAATTCCTTAAGAAGGCTACCTCATAGTCCAACAAAACCAACACCAGGAAATCAGGAAACTGGTAGTAGAAAGAGAGGGTGAGGTGTTGGTGGCTCATGCCTGTAATCCTAGCTACTCAGGAGGCTGAGATCTGAGGATCACAGCTCAAAAAACAGCTCAAAAAGTCTATTAAGACTCTAATCTCCAATTAACCACTCAAAAACCAGAAGTAAAGCTGTAGTTCAAAGTGGTATAGTGCTAACCTTGAGCAAAAGAGCTCAGAGAGAGTTCCCAGACCCTAAATTCAAGCCCCACAACCAACACAACTGAAAGAGAAAAAGAGAGACAGAGACAGAGACAGGATAGAAAGGCAGACAAATGAGGAGAAGAATGCAGGAGAATGCAGTCAAGAATTCAATGTATATCCTACAAAATTAAGACAATGGAGGGGAAGGAGAGGGCTGGAAAGGATGGGAGAGAACAATGAAAGGAGTGACCTAGATCAAGATGCATTTTATTCATAAACTGCTCTGGCAAATGGCAACTCCGTTGTAAAACTACTTAAACATAGTACATGTGCCAATTTCAAAAAAATGGTACAAAGAAGTACCCAGAGCAGTACCCACTATCTCTACTAAAATGACAATATAAATATGTATTCTGGGTCTCAAAATAAGTTCAGGGGCTATGTAATTTCACTGAATCTGCTCAGGCACAGCAAAACAGTTTATTTCACTTGTGTTTGTTAATTCCCTCTGGAGAAATCATGCATGCATGATTTTGATTAGATGAATAATTAGGACCATCATATTTTGAGTAGACATGAACACTGTGTTAATCTGTTAGTCTAAAACAGGTAAAAATGGTTTGCATTTTATCCCTCCATACATGTGTACCTCTCTAGATGAAACATGACTATCAAAGATGATAGGGGCTTAGAGACAAGGAGCTGTGACCCTGTGGGATGTGGATGTCTCCGCCAGGCTGCTGAAGGGGCACCAAGCCTGGGCAGCAACTCCATGAACTGAGATGTGAAGGCTGTCCCCAGGAGATGTTCAATTATGCAGCCCTTCTGCGAGTGCTTCACACATGCAGACACCATTTCATTTTAGTGAAATCAATTAAAATTAATTAATAAATGTAGTTTTCTGGGTCTTTGCATTGCCCTGCCTTATGAGTGAATACTTGTACGTAAGTAAATATTCCTATGCAACTTCAGGCCACACCTTTCCATTTGTTTCTACTGTCAGGTTTTAAAAGCCTGTAACTGATGACCAGGCTGAGAAGAACAGAGCTCACTGAGATAAGTGTGTGGTGAATCCATCCTAGAGAGAAGCTATATGATATCACAATGATGCCAAAATTCAGGTTTCCTTGCAGACTGAAGAGGTATAACAACTGGATCATCACAGAGCATTCCAGCTGCGTCAGCTGGTCCAGATGAAAAGACCACAGCATTATGTTAGCTGAAATAAGCCATGTAAGCAAGGACAAAAAGCATAGGACATCATTCCAAGATGGGCGCTAAATAATCTGGTTACACAAAATTAGAAAATAGAACAATGGACAATGGATGCTGAGAAGGAAGAGGAAGAAAGGGAAAGAGCGAGGTGGGTAAATGAATACAAAAGTAGAATTACAAGAAGGATTAAGCTCTAGTGTTTTATAGTACAGTAGGGTGGCTGCACATAAGAACAACTTCAGCATTTTAAAATAGCTAAAATAATTCTGCATATTCTCAAAACGAAGGAATGGTGAGAAGACAGACATGTACATGACACAATGCATATATACACATATAGATATATATCATAAGGAAACACCACTCTGTACTGCATAAATATGTACTATTCTATGTGTTGATTTAAAGTTTTGTGGGGGTTTTTAAAAAGAGAAAACAATGTGACTCCAACATTTGACTCAGTGAGACACCACTATCTCCCATCTTTGTGGTATCCATTTGGATTTGTACTGGTTTAGAACTTCTTATTTCAAGGATTGGCTGAAAATTATATGATATTTTACTTGAACTTACAGATACACACACATCCTAATCATGTATTAGAACCAATAACATAACTTGGAGAAACTTCAGCTTTTGAAAATTATGATATTTTACTTGAACTTACAGATACACACACATCCTAATCATGTATTAGAACCAATAACATAACTTGGAGAGACTTCAGCTTTTTAAAAATGAAAGTCTAGTTCAGGTGCCAGTGGTTCATGCCTGTAATCCTAGCTACTCAGGAGGCTGAGATCTATGGATTGCAGTTCAAAGCTAGCCCTGACTGAAAGTCTGCAAGACTCTTATCTCCAA